CCTCCCTCCCTCCCTCCCTCCCTCCCTCCCTCCCTCCCTCCCTCTCTCTGGAGCCACAGTCGCGAATGAATCGTGAGGGGAGAAACGGCGCTGGATTCGGGTCCACTGGCTCAACTTCCGCAACATCTTCCATCAAGCAGGAAGCCCAGCTACTGAAGGTCAACTTACTCGAAGGCCAAGGCCTCGCAGTAGCTTCGAGCACCTAACCTTGAGGCGAATTCAGCGTGAGCTGAAGGAGATCAGTGAGTCGCCGTCGCGGCACTGGACCCGATCCGAACTGCTGCGGCTAGGTTCGCATTTTCGTGACACCTATACGCGCTATGCTGCAGGATCGCTGGGCCAGCGAAAGATGACCTGTTCGAGTGGCTGGTCTCTCTCTCAATGCTGCTTTCTCTGCTCGTAAGAGGCTTGTGTCGCACCTGCTACTCAGTTTGCTGTTCGCGGGCCCCCCTCAACCGACTTCGAAGGAGGCTCCTTGGGCGGTTGCTTTGCTTTGCAACCTCCCTGTGTTTTTTAATGAAGAGGCATCTACACCGGCAAGATCGTGTTGCCAGCCGCGCGCTTGAAACCGCGCGTTTCATCCTATGCTTGCCTCTACTCGGGTCTGAAGTCAGCGGCTCACCACTCGAGGTGAACTACCCTCTCGCACCTCCATCCATTACCATGCTTACACCAAGTGGCCGATGGGAGGCGCGCCCGCTCGAAGTCGACGTGCAAGCTTTTCCAACTTGGTCAGCTGTAGTTTGAGGTAGGGAAGAAGATCTGCCTGAGCAACACCAGCTACTCAGCTGCATATGGCCACAGCCAATTGAAGATTAAGAAGGGAGAGCAAGATTGCGCTGGTTCAAGGCAACCCTGGCTTGGAACACATTCAACATTGTTTGTATTGTTGTCCGCCATCGCTAGTATCTGCTTGCAGATCCCACACAGCTGCATTTTGCCTCAGATTACCACGCAGAGCTCTGGCAGCCCGCTTGGGGGATCCGGACCATCATGGAGGCTGAAGGCTTGAATTCGGTTTGCCGGTTCCGACAAGACTGGCCTCGAGGCCCTGCGCAGCCACTTCCCGGTGGCTGGAGACGGGGCGGTCGGTGCTCGCCTTACACTTCCGTAGCTCAAGCAGGGGGATTGAGGGGACCTTTCCTGGAGGCGCCCTTGACTGGCCAAGCCACCTTCGCAAGCGGCTGGCGCAGGCACAGTTTGAGTCTGGTGGGGACGCGTTTGCATGGCGCACCGCTCCTCGGAGGAATCTTTGGACTTTATCACCTTGCCTGGGTCAGCTGGCCAGTGGGCACAGAAGTCTGTAACTTACAGCATTCGCGACACTAAGAAGCTGCGATGCGTGAGATTCACTCTGGTGTCAGAGCACACAGCTGCTCATTGCTAACTGAGAGGAATCGGGAGCTACTACCGGAGCTCTCGCCAGAGGAGCTGAAGGAGGCCCCTCATTTGCTCAGAAATGAGTGCGGGTTCAGCTGCCGTAAACTGTGCATGATATTGAGCTTAGAGCGGGTGATTTGCATGAATCTACTGCTGTATGGCTCAAGCTATCAAAGTCAAAAATGCTTGCGAGAAAGCAGACGTTGCCGCTCAGCTTCACATGGGCAGGAGCACTTTCTGTGCTGAGTCCTGAATGTCTGTGACGTCGAGGTTTGAGTGTGATCCCGGAGCCGTACATGCGAAATTTGTGCTTATGCGGCCAAGCTGAATTATGGCTCCTGAGCTGCGCAAGCAGACTTCTTTTTTCTTCCCTCCAAGGCATGCTTGCGCAGCTCGTGGTAGGAGACAGCCTCAGAGGGCATTGAGTGGCTTGCACACTCGAGCACGTGATATCCAGCCGGCAACAGGATCCAATCAAACTTTCCCACAGTCGGACTCGCAGGCTCGTCCTCTTCGCTAGCTGCTTGTGGCTCTGAATCGAAGTGCCGGCTGCCAACCGTGCAAAGGTGCGGAGCGGACGCGTGGACTGCGCAACTCGCACAGAAAATGAGTACCATGTTGTGGCCCAGAGCGCACGGGCCTAGCATTCCGCCACAGAGTAGAGGAAGAGGGGGTTGCTGCTGCTTAATTACCGTCGTGGTGGTGGTGGTGTGCGTGTTTGCATATACATATATACATATATATATATATACATATACATATATGTATATATATATATATATGTGTGTGTGTGTGTGGAACACCTGTTTGC